GTCAAAGGTGAGGGATATTCAGACACATCAGTTTCTAAGAAGAGTCTGCTCACAACATATCCATCATGTCTTCTGGAAATTTTAAGAAGCCCTGAGTTTCTATCACCTGATTGGCTCCAGATCCACCTTTACCTCCCCCTGTCCTTTGGTAAAGTCTCTGTTAAACCCCTTAAAGCCTGACTCACTCTACAGGAAGCCACATGAAAAGGATCTCAGCTGGTGGTAAGTTGAGATCTGATAATTTTTAAAATATTGTTTTAATGCCTATTATATAACAACACCTCCTAAACTCGAGGGGAGTGCTGTTCAGTGTGTTATCCACCTGCCACATATGGCTATTGAGCTCTTGCTATGTTTCTAGTCTAATCTCAAATATACCATAAGTGTAAAATGCACTTAATATGTGTGAAGATTAGTGTTTAAAAAGAATGTAAACATCCTCATTAATAATTTTCATTTTGGTTACATGTTCCAACAATATTCTTTTTGACATACTGGATTAAATAAAGGATGTTATTAAAATTAATTTCCCCAGACATTTTTTACTTTTTTGAAAATATGGCTACTAGAAAATCGTAAGTCACACAAGTGGCTGGCATTTATGGTTCACGTTACATTCCTATTGGATGGTGTCACCCTAGAGATATAAGAATGAAAGAACTTGGTACTCTTCTGGAGCTTATATACTAGTGTGGAGAGTATTTAAGATAGAAAATAAATGAATGTATGAATAAACAAGAAAAGTATCTGGTGAGGTAGGCTGTGCCCACAGCAGCTGCTTTGCATTGTGGGTCAGACTGAACCTCTCTGAGGATGTAATACTTAAGCTGAGATATGAATATTCATAAAGAGGTAGGTGTGGAGAGAAGGAACATTGTAGGCATTGTAGGCAGAAGGAACAGAGAATGCCAAAGCCTTGAGATGACAATGAGCTCGGCATATTCAAAGAATTAAAGGAATCTGGTATAAATATAGCATGGTATATAAGACAAGAGAAGATATATGAGGCATGAGGGATAAACTGGACAGATATAGGGGTGTGTGGAAAGCTTAAAGAAATATGGAAATCCTTGAAGGGTGTTGAGCACAATAATGTCATGATCTTATTTACTGTTTTAGAAGATCATTTGGCTTCTGTCTGGACAATGGATTTTAGGGGAGGGGCAGCAAGAGCAGGAACAAACTATTATTTGCAAGGTCAGTACAAATATGCGGGCCAGACATAAATCATGGACAAGGGTAGGGATGATTGAGATGATTTTGTCTGTGTATTCAGCATGTTCTGGAGATAGAATCAGTACGACTTGGATTGGATTGGGTGGTGAGGTAAAAGAAAATTAAAGTTAAGTTTTAGATTTGGAGCTTTGACAACTGGATGTTCAAGCTCCAAATTGATACAGAATATTTGGAGAATGGCAAGTTTGAGAGGATGGAACAATCACCAGTTTGGTTTGGCCAGTGTTAGGTATGGGGTGCCTGTGAAACTGCCGTGGGGAGATGTCAGGAAGTCAGCCAATTATATCAGGTGAAAGCTCTGGGGACAGGCCAAGGCTAATGACTTAGATCAGAAGTTATCAGTACGATATTTTAAGCCACAAGCCTGGATGATGTCACCTATGGAAAGACTACATAAAGGGGATGAGTTTGGGAAGGCAGGTATAAGCCACAGGACACCCCAAAATTTACACTCAAATTTAGAGAAAGAAAAGCTAAGACTGAAATGAAGGTGGCCAACTGAGCTAAAAGACAGCCCAGAATGTGTTGGGTGTACATTTTATCAACTCAAGGCATAAGAAAGTGAGTTTCAAAAAGGAAGAAGCAGTCCAATGGGTCTTATGTCACTGAGACATTAGGATACACTGAAATTAGCAACATGGAGGTTATAAGCAGCCTTCAGTGGAATGCTGAGGACTGAAATCAGCATGGAACGATTTCAGGAGAAAATGCAAGGTGAGGAAGTGGAGTGAGCAAAGAGAGGGAACTCCTTCTGAAGCCTGGCAATGAATTATTTTCAAGAAAGAAGTTTCCTAAGAAAAATAGGGCTGGAACTTGAAAGGAATGTAGATGAAGAATGGTTTCTCTTTAAAAGGAGAGGATATAACAACATTTATGTGACAGTGAGAATGATCAAGTAGAAAGAAAATGTTGGGAGGTATTTGGCAGAAAAAAAAAGATAAATGCAAAAGCATATAGGGAGGATCGTCTTTGGGATGAACAAGAACTCTTTATTCACAATAACAGGTGCAGGAGGGTTACAGGAGGAAAAGAAAAAAATTTCATATCTAACTGTGACCATTTTCTCTTTAAAATATCAGTCAAGAGCATCAGCCGACAGTGAGAATAGCAGGGGAAGTCAGGTATTTTGAAGAGAAAGCAGGACTGAAAGAAGGATTGAAGTTATTATTTTAAAGCACGGAAAAAACGAATATTCTAGAGAAGTAGCGTTAGCGGATGAGAAAGTGTTTAGTGTCCATTTGAAATCTGTGGTGATAAATTCAATTGCACTCCTTAATAATTGAAATATTGGGCAAGTCACTTCCCCTCTCTGATACATGGTTTCCTCTTGTATTACATCATAATAATACTTGCCCAAAGGCAAAGATGTTGTAATTAGAGATGATAAAATGTACTGTGACTGGCACATATTAGGAGCTCACTTAACTGCAGCCATTTCAATCAGTACAGATGTCATCAGTGATTCACAGGTTCTCTTCCCCACCTTGCAACTAAGGGGCCCCATAATTTTGTAACTTTGCCTGATTGGCCTGTCCTCTCGTGTCATTGCACAATCATGCTTCCTTGTTCTATCAACATTTTAAAATCAATGATTTAGAGATTATAATTACATTTTGTCTTCTAAATGCCCTGTAGAATTTTGAAGGTTGAGTGAAGTGAACCTGAATCTTTTGAGGAAATATGGGGTTGGAGAAGTTTAACAGCACAACTCTAGTGAGAACAGTCTGGCTGAACTCAAGTCCTATCTCTACCTCTTTCTAACTGGGAGCTTTAAACAATTCATGTAACCAATTTAAATCTCAACTCCTTCATCTGTACAATGGCTATACCAATTATCACTAAGATTATTCAACATTTGTGATATCTCAGTGTGCTCAGTGCTTTACACATACGAACACATAAAATCCTCAAGAGCCTATGAGGTGAGTGCTGAGAGGGTTGAAAGAGAAGCTCGTGGCATGTGGATGGTGTTTAGAAGTCGTAGCTACTATTGATATGAGCTGGGCATTTGTTCGTGATTAGACCTTGAACTTCTACAATGCTTGGCTCAGGATGAGAACACGACACAGCACAGAACGTGGTGATGACCAAGAGCCAGCATTTGTTAAAGACTTGCTCTGTCTGTCCTAGAAGTTTCAGTGTCTATTCTTGCTTCATCCTCATCTGAAAACCAGTGTTCACAAAACTACCTCTATTCTGCAAAGGAAGAAACTGAGGCTTGAAGAGACGTTATTGACCAAGTACTAATGTTGGGGTGGTGTCATAGATGAGAGTGCAATACAGAGCTGACTCCAGAGTCCAGTAGTCTTTACACTATAAGAGTGACTCTTAATTGGGGGTAATTTTGCCTCCCAGGGAACATTAGCCCACAGACCACAGTAAAGGAAACTTGATCAAGTGGCATAAACATAGGGGTCACAGAGACCTGTAGGTTAAATCAGATATAATAATTACATATGTGACTTGGTCCAGAGGCTGGGATGGACTAAATTTGGGGATTCTTATGTTTAAAATCATGGAAATTGATCCCAGAAGCTTCCCAGAATATCTTCCCACCATGTTAACATGCAGAATTTAATGATGTGCCCTCCACCAAAGCAATCTCTTGCAAAGAAAATGGGATTCCTGCTACCAGTTAGACTAATCCAGATTTACCCCCAAAGGTGAAAAAAGGGACACATTCCCCAAAGGGTGAGCAACTAAACAAAATGGTGGTTTGGTTCATGTAAAAGGATGGAGGAACAAATATTGGGGGGTAACCAGCAACGTCTGTCACAAATGGTACAGTGGAGGCAGGAATTCAAAGTCAGACCAAGCTGTTACTTACTACTCAAATGACCTTCAGCAGACTTTATAATTTCTCTGAATATCAATTTTTTCTTATAAAAAACTGGAAATAATAAACACGATAGAGCTATTATGTACACCCAACTGGATCCCATATATAATGCAATGCATGGTCTCAAATAAGAACCCCACAAATATTAGCAAAATGTATTGTTTATACACTTATTTTTTATACACTTACAAAAGGTATTGTTCATACACTTTATGCCCTATAACACTAAAGCTGTAAATGGGAAAAATTCTTTGCCTCCCAAACAGAGAAGAACTCCATATCAAGCAGAAACAATAAAAAGAAGATTGAAAGTAGAGTTAGGGCCCCCTCGCTGACTTCCTCTGGCACAGGATACACAGGATGTAACATATTACTTCACATTTCCAGTAACTCTTGAACTATAAACTCAAACCAAACCCTAAAACTTTAACTAGTACTAACCAAATAATAGGTCAAGTGTTCTCACAGTGGGGAGGGATAGGAGCTGGAAGACTGGGAGAACCTGGGTTGAAAGAGGTTGCAGATCTTGCCAGCATTTTTGTATTGAATCTTGAAACAAGATTTCAACCTACTGACTCTGAGTCTAGTGCTTTCCTCACTACGTGGAAGGTGCCTGTGCTCAATTTTCTGTTGTCTATACACCCTCAGTATAGTGTTTCTGCTTCTGGACAGGCACCTTGTAATCCTCTTGGTAAAATAATCAGCCTGATTAAAATGCATATTAATAATTATGGGAATATGAAGAACTATCTGTTCTCAAAAGAACAGGTAAGATGGTGCCAGTTGTATCGTATCCCTCACTACAAGGCTCTGAAGAGTGGGTCTCTTGGCTGGAGTGGGAGATACAGTAGAAGAATAGGCATGCTGTATGATGGTTCCACGGGGGAGAAATGGCCATTGTTGAAATGTGTCAGGTGTGGTCAAGATGGAAACCAACCTCTCCACCGCTCTGAATGAATATGAAGAGGTGCTTCATGAGTCGGCTGTCTACACTCTTCTGCTGATGCTCTCATTGGTGGTACTCAGGGTCACCTTTGTCCTTAGTGTCCTGGGCAATGGGCTCGTGATCTGGGTGGGAGCATTCCGGATGGCATGCGTGGTCACCACCATCTGCTACCTGAACCTGGCCTTAGCCGACTTCTCTTTCACTGCCACCCTACCATTCCTCATCATCTCAATGGCCATGAGACAAAAATGGCCTTTTGGCTGGTTCCTATGCAAGTTAGTTCACACTGTGGCAACACAAACCTTTCCGATGGCTGTCATTGCTCTGGACTGCTGTATTTGTGTCCTTCATCCAATCTGGGCCCAGAACCACCACACTGTAATTCTGGCCACAAAGGTGGTCACTGGACCCTGGATTCTTGCCCTAGTCCTTACTTTGCCAGTTTTCGTCTTCTTGACTATAGTCACTACTGAGGAAGGGGACACATACTGTACTTTCAGCTTTGCATCCTGGGGTGACACCGCTGAAGAGAACTGGAAGTTGGCTATCACCACGTTGGCAGTCAGAAGAGTCATCTGGTTCGTTATTGGCTTCAGTGTACCTATGTCCATCATCACTATCTGCTATGGGCTCATCGCTGCCAAGATTCACACAAAAAAAGGCCTGATTAAATCCAGGCATCCCTTACTTTGTCTAATTGTAGGTGATAAGACTCCCATTTCAGGAGGGGTCCTGCCTTATGCCCGGGAGGAAGGAACACTGCACAGAGAAACCAAGAAAAATGTGGACAGACAGGACTTACTGGGTCTCCCCACTCAGTATATTAGCATTAGGTTATACCCTTTTTGTCCCAAAACATCCCTACAGGGTTTTCCACACTTCAGTCATGCCCATATAGTGAAGCTTCCATAAAAACCCAAGAGCACAGGGTTCGGGGAGCTTCTGGATACCCGAACATGGGAAGGCTCCTGGAGGGTGGCATGCCCTAGAGGGCACAAGGGCTCTAGGTCCCTTCCCCTATATCTCACCTCATGCATCTCTTCATCTGTATCCTTTGTAATATCTTTTATAATAAATGGGTAAGTGTAAGTAAGTGTTTATCTGAGTTCTGTGAGCTGCTCAAAAAATTAGTCAAACCCAAGGAGGGGACATGAAAATGCCAGTTCATAGTCAGTCAGTTGGAATCCCAGGTAAAGAAAACCACTAGCTTGCAATTGGCATCAGAATTCGGTAGTTAGCGTCATAATTGAGTTGAATTGGAGGATACTCTGACGGTGTCTGCTGCAGAACTGATTACTTGCTTCATGTGGGGGGAGAAACACCCACACATCTGGTGTCAGAAGCATGTTGTGAGACTATAGTGGGAGAAACTGTGTTTTTTTTTTTTTTTTCATTTCATCTCCTAAAAAATTTGGGAAATGATTCCTCTAATTCTGTTCTCTAGTGTTATATCTTTTTTAAATGTTTAGAAAAGTTCACCAGTGAAACCAACTGGGTATTAGTTTTCTCTCTAGGAAGGCTTTAAATAATAGGTTCAATTTCTCTAACAATTATTAGACTACTCAGTTTTCTTTTTCTTCTCTGTCACTTTTGGTAAACTGTGATTTTCAAGGAATTTGGCCATTTCATCCAAACCACCAAACTTATTGGCATGAAATGGTATAATAACTATGAAAAGAACTTGATACAGTTTCTTTCAAATAATGAGAATGTAAGCTATTTGAGGGCAGGGATTTTGGTCTGTATTTTTCACTGATCGATCCCCATCCCCTTGTATACAAAATAGTGCCTGACATGTGACAGGCACTCAATAAATATCTATTGAATTAATGAGTCAATAAACAATAGTATCACCTAGGTATCAAGTGAAAACCTTTAATTAAAATTATCTTCAACCCTTGTAAAATGAACCAGGCCATGTCCAGTAAACTCCCGTCCTCATGCCTACATTTACAAATTCCCATGTGGCTTACAATTTCATGCATATCTCTGGTTCTGAGTTTCTGCTTCAAGTAAGGTACTTTGACTAACTGCTGCCTGATGACTTTGTTTTGAAAGAAAGCAATGCACAATAGTACTCAACCCTTTCCCTGGCTTTCTGCAAATAACCACTTGCAAATGGTTCTTCACTGTGTGATATACTCACCTGATGCATCGGCAAAAGAAATAATGCAAAATGAATACTAAACAATTCTGTTATCAGAAGTTCTTCACTCACTTCACTGCTTTACCCAGTCATCGTTCTTTTTCCTTTCCCTCATTTCACCCATAAAGTTTTTTTGCATTTCCAGTGCAGAGCAGGTTCCCCATTTCATTTGTATTCTTAACTCCTATAAATGAATTCCCAAGAAATGTACACTCTTAAATACCCAACTAAGTTGCAGCCATATTAAATAAATAACAAGGAAAAAATGCAGAAAGGGAAAGCCGGGAGCCACAAAGGACACTGTACGACCTCTAAATAGAGAACCAGCGCTTCCGGATTGGCTAATTAAGAAACTTCCTCCACTGCCAGGGCCGGAATTCGTACTGTTCTTGCTCACTGGCCTTAGTTAATTGCAACAGAATAGTGCCTGCTACGTCCTTCCCATTTTTCTATTCTTCATTCAAAGTCTTCATTGTGGATTTCCAATTTTCATTGCACCATAATGTATTGGGAAGAGGAGGATGTTTTTAAGTTTATGGGACACTTACCACACACACCCAAAAATAAACATTTCTAGGCCTGATTAAGTCTAAAACTCCAAAATAAAATGGGGGCTATTATCCTGGAGAAAGATAGGACTAAATCTTTATTTGGAGAGAAGAGTGTTAGAGAGATGTCGTGAGCTGTGGTAGAGACTGCCAGCTGCCTACCCAATATTTATCCCCCTTCTTTATTAATAACGTGGATGGCAATTCATCCAGCTAAAATAATACTTTTCTCAGCCATTTTTTCAGATAGGTGCAAATAAATTCTAAGCAGTAAAATGCAAGCGTTGTATCATGTCAGTACATAAGAGGCTTCCTCTTTTTTGTCTCTCTCATTTTTTAATAGACTATTTTTTAGAGCCATTTTAGATTCACAGCAAATTGAGCATAAGGTGCAGAGAAGTCCCATCTACCTGCTATCCCCACACATACACAGCCTTCCCCATTATCAACATCCCCCACCAGAATGGTACATTTTTTACAATTTTTCAACCTACATTGACACATTATTATCATCAAAAGCCCATAGTTTAAATTAGGGGTCACTCTTGGTGTTGCACATTCTATGAGTTTGGACAAATACACAATGACATGTATCCACCATTATAGTATCAGACAGAGTACAGTAATTTTACTCACTGCCATAAAAAATCTTCTGTACTCCACTTATTCATTCCTCTCTCTTCCCTAACGCCTGATAACCTCTGGTCTTTTTACTGTCTTCACAGTTTTGTCTTTTCCAGAATATCATATAGTTGGAATCATACAGTATGTAGACTTTTAAGATTGACTTTTTTCACTCAGAGATATTCACTTAAGTTTCTTCTATGTCTTTTCATAGCTTAATAGCTCATTTATTTTTAGCACTAAATAATATTCCATTGTTTGGATGCACCATGGTTCATTTATCCATTAACCTATTGAAAAACATGCTTATTGCTTCCAAGTTTTTGCTATAAACATCCATGTGCAGGTTTTTGTGTAAACATAAATATTCAACTACTTTAGGTAAATACCAAGGAACACTGCTGCTGAATTGTATAATAAGAGAATGTTTAGTTTTGTAAAAAAACATCAAGCTGTCTTCCAAAGTGTCTATATGATTCTGCATTCCCACCAGCAATGAAGATGATACACATTCTTGCTGGCATTTAGTGTTGTCAGTATTCTGGATTTGGGCCATTTCTAATAGGTGTATAGTGGATTCTTGTTTTAATCTGTATTTCCCTGATAGTACATGATGTGGAGCATCTTTTTATTGTCTATTTGACATCTGTATATCTTCTCTGTTAAGATGTCTGTTATGGTCTTTGGCCCATTTTTTTAATGGGCTATTTATGTTTTTATTGTTGAGTTCTAAGAGTTCGTTGTGTCACCTCTCACCCAGGGTGATGGAGACACAAAGGATTACTCAAAGCCCATTTCTTCTGAGCAGTGAGAAGACCTGAAGGGGTTAATTTCCAGGAACCCTCAAGAGAAAGACATTCCTCCTTGGAAAATAGCACTGAACTAGGGTCTTCTCCCAGTGTTTATTTTCCAAGCCAGAAAGTTACAGAAAAGGAACATAGGTGGTTACAAAGAACAGTAAGATAATTGTCATGGCAACAATCATTAGGTTTGGCTGCACCACAGACATCTGCCCTTAGAGCCAGCAATTTCGCTGTGTTACAATTCTTTATCTACAACAGAGACTTTAGCCTGGGGAAAGTTTCCTGTCTTTTACAAGCTTAACATTTCTATGTGTAATTTTTAAAAGTTAGGCTATACCTGAAACTATAGAGCCTTAGAAGCTAGGCCCTGTGAGATACATTTGCTTTATAAATGTTATTATACTCCACACTTTGTATATTTTCAATAACAGTCCTTGATCTGATATGTCTTTTGCAAACATTTTCTCCCAGTTTGTGACTTATCTTTTCATTTTTCATTGTGAGTGTCTTTTGCAGAGCAGACATTTTTAATTTTAATGAGGTCCAGCATATCAATTCTTTCTATCATGGATTGTACCTTTTGGGTTGCATCTACAAAGTCAATGCTAAACCCAAGGTCATCTAGATTTTCTCCTTTGTTATCTTCTAGGAATTTTATAGTTTTGCATTTTACATTTAGATCTGTGATCCATTAAACTTTGTGAAAGGTGTAAGTCTGTTTCTAGATTTACTTATTTATTTATTTTGTGCATGGATATCCAATTGTTACCCCACTATTTGTTGAAAAAACTATCTTTTCTCCTTTGAATTGCCTTTGCTCCTTTTTCAAAGATCACATGACTATATTTATGTGGGTCTATTTCTAGACCCTCCATTCAGTTTCACGGATCTATTTGTTTATTCTTTTGCCAATACAATGCTGTCTTGATGACTGTAGTTTTACAGTATGTCTTGAGATCAAGTAGTGTCAGTCTTCCAACGCTGTTCTTCTCCTTTAGTATTATGTTGGCTATTCTGGGTGTTTTGCCTCTCCTTGTGAACTTTAGACTCAGTTTGTCCTGTCCACAAAATAAATTGCTGGGATTTTGATTGGGATTGCATTGACTTTACAGATCAAGTTGGGAAGAGCTGACATCCTGAAAATATAGAGTCTGCCTAGCTGATAGAGTCTGGACATGTTGTCTCCACCAAAACTCATGTGGAAAACTGATCACCAATGTGGCAGTGTTGGGAGCTGTTTGAGTCATGGGGGCAGATCCCTCATGAATGGATTAATGCTCTCCCTGAGGGGTGAGGGTAGTGAGTGAGTTCTCGCTCTATTAGTTCCCACAAAAGCTGGTTGTTTAAAAGACCTGGCACCAGCTCTCTCTCTCTCTTGCTTCCTCTAGCCATGTGATCTGCTTGTACCCACTGGCTGCCTGCTGCTTTCCTTCTTAAATAGAAGCAGCCTGAGGCCCACGCCAGATGAAGCTGTCCCAGAATTGTAAGCCAAACAAACCTCTTTTCTTTACAAATTACCAAATCTCAGGTATTCTGTTATAGCAACACAAAATGGACTAATACAAAAAATTGGTACCAGAGAAGTGGGGAGTTGCTTATAACAAATACTTGAAAATGTGGAAGTGGCTTTGGAATTGGGTGTTGAGGAGAGGCTGGAGGAATTTGGAGGAACGGGCTAGACAAAGCCTAGATGCTGGTGAAAGTTGAGAAGGCAAGAAAACTAAATAAAGTTTGGAATGTTTTAGAGACTGGTTAAATGGTGGTGACCAGAATGCTTATGGAAATATGGAC